TAATAATAAACGGCAAAATGTTTCAAAATACTAGGTAAGTCAAATTGACCCAACAACGTAATAAGTGTAATGAAATTACATTTGGCATCCTCCAGTAACGTAAAAAACAGATATTATTTTAATTTTCATATTTATCTATTCCTKTTACTGCAGTTAACAAATAGAAGAAGAATCAATACAATAAGACTAGACTAGCACGCGAATTTCGACGAGTTTTACTGAAAATTGGGTCAAATTGACCCAAACATAGCAGAAGGGTWAAGTAGCCTAAGTATATTACAACCAAATAAGTCTTCGTAGTTATTCGAAAAATTTCAGTTTTTTCATATGTTCATCGCTAAACAATTCTTGGGTTTCATTTAGACAAACTTTTCCTCCCGCTGTTGTTAACGTTATTGGCTGAATATAAATAATCTTTTCGTTGAATATTCCGGGATTTATTAAACTAACTGATGAACCTCTGTCGACTAAAAATTTATAAYATTTTTTTATTAAATTTCAGTTCAATTGTGGGGAGATTTCCGAGGCTGTTAAGTGAAAATTTACCTCATCTTCTTCCATTGGTTCAGGATRGTCAAAGCGTCTTAATCGAGATTGGTTGGACCCATGAATCCTTTCTTGTTTTAAAGTATTTCAGTTTATATTAGTATAAATGTTTGCAGAATTGAAAGGTAAATTATTATTTTGCAAAGTACATTGTTGATTGCTATGTTCATTCAAAAATGGTTTATTTTTATAATAATTATTCTGATTGTACAATGGATAATTTTTTTTAGTGTTGTAWTTGGAACGAACTGGAAATTGACTCATAATGGTTGTAAAATATTCTATATTAGTATTATTATTGTTATTCATACAATTACATAGTTTCGAATTTGCGTTAGTTCTTTGAATTGTTTTTTGTTTAGAGAATTGTTTATTATTTTCATAAACATCGTTTTCTTTTAATATTTTAATTGCTGACTTAAGGTCAGTAGCACGATTTGCGTTTATTAACGCAGTTAAATAGTTTCGCCATCCTCTTTTTAATGTTTTCATACTTATCTGATCT